ATTCAGCAAGGGCATAAGGCATCTGAGCCTTAGAGAGGTGAAATAACTTGCCCAAAGTCAAACTTAAAAAAGCAACAGAGGCAAGTATGGAACCTGGGCTGTCTGGTTCTAATCCCCATTCATGTAACTACTAGATTATCTTGCCTTCTTCTGATGTTATTCTAATAACTTGGAGTGATAGATGCCTTCCTGACATGATTGCGCGTGTCCTATGAGCTATACACACAGACCACATACGGTCTCATCACTCACCCTATCTGACCCTTCTGCTTATGCCCCTTGTCTGAAGCTACCCCCGTTGAGTGTGTGAAATCAGACAGTATCTCTGCCAGGGAAAAAGTAGGAAAGGTCTCCTCTGATCCTAAAGGTCACATTTTATACTGGGGTAGACATTCACCCAAAGCTACAACTTCGCATGAAAATTAAGGGAGCAGAATAATGATACGATGTCAGCAGACAATAACAAATGATGTCAGTAGACAAGATTATTGCTGTCAGGGGCTGCTACTGGAGGTCTAGAAGCGAGCTACCCTTGGTGGAGCGACCTGCTTTCCCTTGTTTGGCATCAGATGCTGCTTGTTCTCTTCTCAGCCCGCTTCTGCTTTTCATCCTCACTGTCATCACACATGAATTGTTGGTGGTGAAATTAGGCATTTCTGTAGCCTCAGAGATTTGAGTAGATTGGAGAAAACTAGAAAATTATATGATTTAAATGCTTTTGGGAGAAGCTTTAAAGACTGGCTTTAGATTTATTATGAAAATCTTAATGGCTTTTGCAAAAGTTCCTCATTTGCCAAAGACCCTAATTTTCTCAGACCCAAATATAGATTTAAAATCCAGATCATATCACTGTCTCTGTTTCTTTTTCTTTTTTCTTTTTTTTTTTTTTTGAGACAGGGTTTTACTCTGTTGTCCAGTCTGGAGTGGAGATTTTTGGCCTAATCATAGCTCACTGTAGCCTTGACCTCCTGGAGTGATCCATCTACCTCAGCCTCCTGAGTAGTGGGGAACCACAGGTGAGCATCACCAAGTCTGGCTAAATTTGTTTACTTTTTGTAGAGATGGGGTCTTGCTATGTTTCCCAGGCTGGTCTCACACTCCTGGGCTCAAGCAATCCACCCACCTTGGCCTCCCAAAATGCTGGGATTGCAGGCATGAGCCACTGCGCCCAGCCCTGTCTCTATTTCTGACTTGAGTGCTGGTCTTAGAGTGAAAATGAGTCCTGGTCTTAGACAAAAAACTACGTCAGTAGTTCCTCTGAGGGAAGAAGGTACGTACCCATTCCAGATAAATGAATACTTTCAGCTTTAATGACGACATGTAATCCCATATGACATATTTTTATACTATCGTTAACATGATAGGCCTCCTCAAATTTTTTTGGAACAAAATGGGACATCAACACATAAAAAATAAATAACATGTGGCAGTGTTGCAAGCACAGGAAAAGGGGTATTAGCATACAGAAGAGGCAAATCCTAATGTGCGAAAGCCTGTTTGCCACACGATACCTTCCAGTACATGAATACCATTTAGCAAAGCTGCCTTTAGGTAAAGATTCTTAATGTCTTTGCAGGACTCATTCACTACTCAAAAGAGTGAAGTTTTCGTCCTGAGCATAAATACTCAGTTGGAGTCACTTTTCTGCAAGGGGTATGTGTAAATATGTAAACTGGCTAAGACACAGGGCTTAACTGTACTATCTCCAAGGATGAGTGACTGGAACTGTATGTTCAGTTCAGCAAATATTTATTGAGTTCTGTTCTGGTTATTTATTGCTGTATAACAAACTACCCCCAAACTTTGTGGTTTAAAACAACAATTTTAAATTTTCTTTCAGAGTTCTGGGGATTGATGGGCACAGCTAGGGGGCCCTCATACGGCTGCCGTCAAATGGCAGTGGAGGCTGGTGTCATGTGAAGGCTTCTTTACTCACATTTCTGGTTCCTGGGTTGCTTGGGAGTCTCTCCTTCCGTGTGGCCTTTTCACATGGCTAGCTTGGGATTCCTCACTGCCTGCTGGTCTCAGAGTAGTTGGACATTTATTATTTTTTTATCATTCTTCTTCTTATTTTTAAATATATAGCCAACTGCTATGAGAGACCAGGTGGTTTCCCTCCCCCAGGATACCCAAGTGGAAGCTGCAAGGCTTCTTATCACCCAACCTTAGAAGTAACGTAAGTATCACTTCTGCCGAAATGCGCTGTTTAAAGGCATCACATAGCAGCCTAGATTCAAGGGGAGAGGGGAACAGACTCTACCTCTCTCGGGGACAGAATGGGCTGTGTATACAGGGGGAAGAAAGAATTTGATGGCAGCCATCTTGGAGAAAAGCTACCACAAGTTTCCATCACACACAGCGTAGATACTCAAGTGTGGAGGCTGAATGGAGCACTCTCCTCCTGTGAGCAGATGCAGGGGTTATCCCAGGCACAGAGCGGGATAGGGTGACAGGAATGAAGTTCGTTGTAGAGACAGACAGGACAGTGGAGGAGTTCTGATCTCTCCCAATAACCCTCTAGAGAAAAATGGCTTGGAGAAGCAGTTATTTACATTTGCATCAAGAGGGACAATTTCTTGAGCAGATGAAAGATCTGCAAAAGATACATTTCATGTCAGCCCTCCAAGGAGAAGAAAACTCTCTTGCGTGTGGGTAATCTCATGGTTCCGACAGAAACCTAATGGCAAATCATTCTGTGCCATAGATTCTTTCCATAGATGGTCAGGCTGGTGAACTGTTAGGGGCCTTTAAGTGAACAGTGCAGACCTCAAGACTGGTTCTAATAACTAGATATTGTGCTGTCTTTGCTGAAGATACCACACAGCATGAAGATATTTGATTATATTTTGCTTTATAGAGGTGGTTTCTCTGCTTCCAGACATAGCACGTCACCTCCCCAGAGATGCTTCTTCTGACCACCATGTTCAGAGAAATTAAGTCTCTCCCCACTTCCAGTTCACAAACTCTTTGTCCCATCACACTGTTTATTGCCCTCATTGCACTTACCACTACCTGCATTTATTTTGTTTACCTCTTATTGTCTGTCTTCCACTAGAGGAATGTGGCTGACCTGTTTAGTTCCTGGCACACAGTATCCACTCAATAAACATTTCTTAAATAAAAGAACAAACCTTTAAAGTCTGGAAAGAAACACCTTATGACTACTTAAACAAGTTTAGTTGGACTAGTGTCCATTCTCTGTGGGGAGTAAAGACAATAAAAGTATAAAATTCCCAGGAGAAGTCCAGGATGAACTTCAAATCTTCTACCTTACTTGGAATTCAGCTTGGTCACTACTTGAAATCAGGAGACAGTGCCAGGCCTGGAAGTGGTTTCTACAATGTCCATTTATGGGTGACACATTTGGGGAAAGGATAGATTTAAGTTTGCAATGAGGTAGGACTCTGTCTTGCTATGCCCCAAGTGTATTGTGTTAGAATTGGTCTATCAATCCAGAATTAGTGCTTTTGAACTTTCTGGTAGATATATCAGGGTGGGGGTGACGATGCAAGATCAAGGCACTGAGAAGCTGCTCCTCCAAAACGCTGGCATCTTTCAGAGGTTTTTTGGGTTTGTTCAGGTGCCAAGAGTGAATAGGGTAGTGGGTAGAGGCATAGATCCTGGAGTTGGCTGCATCCATCACCACTATTCACTAGTTGTGGGAGCTCAGGCAAGCTTCCTCAACTTCTCTGCCTTAGTTCTCTCTTCTGTAAAATGGAGATATTAACCACATCTACCTACAGGATTGGCATAGGAAGTTAATGAATGTAAAGCACTTAGAATAGTACCTGGCATATGGTAAAGGCCATCTAGGTATTTGCTAACATTGCTGTTAATGAAAGCCATCAACAAAGTGCTGGCACTGTTGTTTCATTACCATGAAAATAATTGTGTCAGTACAGGTAAATTATGCATAAGCTTTTTCTTTCCAAAACTTCCTTTAAGGTTGTTGTTATGTTGTTTTAAGAAAAAGATCCACTATCGCATTGTAATGTTAATGTTGAAGTACAAGGATAATTATACCACTGTATCTTCTTGTTCAGATGGGGAAGTACTCTAACGTGCCCCAGGGATACATATGAAACCACAGAATTATCTGTTGTCAGGCAGGTACTTAAAAAGGGTTTTACATCATAAGCTAAGAGCAAAGTCAGTCTCAGATGGTCCAGCACTAGTGAGGCAGGTACTCTTTCTAATGAGGTGGGTGGAGAGCCTGGACTTGGAACCAGAAGACCGAGTTGGCTTTGGTGCCTGGCTTTTAGCAGTGTGATCTTGGGCAAGCAGCTTAAGGCCTTGGGCTTGGTTTGCACGTCTGTAAAATCGGGATAGTAATTCCAGCTTACTTCAAAGCACTGTGAAGTCCAAATGAGAAATGAATGGGAAGAACTTTCACAACAGGTAATTTTTATAAGAATATTAAACACCAATATTGCAAGGGTCTGGAAGGTCTTTTATCTCTACACACTCATGCCCACCAACCCCTATCCCTACTCCCTCATTCCCATTGCCCTTCTTGACTCAAGCTCATTTAATTTAAGCTAAAAAATTTTGACTTCTGTTGACATAAAAATATACTAGCGGTCTAGAGGCTATTCTAAAGGGAATATCTGGGATTGAGTTTAGGGACTAAATATGCATATACTGGGTATCTGAGGAAAGAAATGGGTGTACAAAGTAAAAGATGGCAGACAAAACATTTTACTAATTAGTTGGTCCAGGAGTGGTCTTTCTAACAGTAAAAGCAAACTGATATAATGTGGCCTAAGAAACTGTTTTAGAATTCAGCAAATCACGGACTAGATGGTAGGACTGACCTTTATACTCATACAGACCTAGACTCAAATCCTAGCTTTGCAAGTTACTCAACCTCTCAGAGCTACAGTTTTCCTATCAGTAAAATGAGGCAATAACACCAGTATCCCAAGGTGATGAGGACCGAACAAATTGAGGTAGAAAACGCTGGCGTATAACTGAAACTGATCTGCGCAAGGAAGCCTTACCAGGAATTTCCGTTTTTGCTTCCAGTGGCTGCCTTGGGCGTTGGTCGCCACGTGGGCTTCGGTGACAGTTTTGATGAGCTCCCATTCCTCGTCTGTGGGCTCTGGCTTGTGCCCGATGGATTTCTGCAGCTCTTCCCGCCGTCTCTTCTCCCGGTTCTCCTCTATCAGCTTCCTCTTGGCCAGCCTCTTGCTGTCATCCAGCACCACTGGGAGCGGGAGAAAGATGAGACAAGGCACACAGATGGTCCCAAGACACACAGCAAGCTGCACTTCCTGGAGCCTCAGGGGTGGGACCACTGATGCACAGATGGCTCAGTGGGTCCTTCGGGGTGGGTCACATTGGGACATTTTCTCTCCTCACTAGCAAACTGCCATTGACTAGTCTTGTCCAACATGGTCTCTGGAGCCAAACTCCCCATGACCGGCCAGCTTTTCAAAACAAAGTCCCCAGAGAACCTAGACACTACGCACTCCAACTCCACAGAAGGTGCTTCTAAAACAGAGTGAAGCAGAGAGAGGTAAAATCCATACTACCCACAAGATCACAGAGAAATCTCTCTAGCCAGTCATCTGAATTCACTGTCTGGGTTTCTGTCCTCCCTGCTTCCCCTAAAATGGTTCTTAGTAAGGAGAACTTCAGGTTAAAGAAAAGTTATGGGAAGAAAAAAGGAACGTTATGGAGCAGTAAGTGGGAGGCTCACGATCCCCCCCCCCTTTTTTTTTTTAGAGGAAAAGGGACCCTAACTCTTCATGGCTCCCTTAAGGGCTAATTGGAATGTGGCTGGGCCTCACCTCGGCCTCAGGGCACTCACTGTGCATTATTCTCTATCTGGTCCACCCTCAAAGGTGGCTAAAGAGCCCAGGCTTTGGAATCTAGAAAGACTTGGATTTGAATTCTGATATGATCACATTCTAGCTGTGTGACCTCTGGCAAGTTCCTAAGGTTCTCTGAGCTTTCGTTTCTTCCTATACAAAATGGGCTCAATAATGCCCACTTCACAGAGTATTCAATGTGATAATGCATTATAAGTGCTCAGTAAATGCAGTCCTGATTTCTATCATTTGGGTGAAAGGAAAATCAGAAGGGCAAGTAACAAGAAACCTATATTTCTGTGGTTAATTTCCAAAAACAAAACCGTTTCACTAGATTTGGTAACTATCAATGGAATGGAAAGACTCAGGTTTTACATTGCAGAGTCACAGTATTTTAGAACTGGAAGGGAGCTTAGAGGTCATCTAGTCCTACTCTCTCTTTTCAAAGAAAGAAGAAGAAATTGATCCAGAGAGGTCGTGACTTGCCTAAAGTCACAGAGCAAGTTAATGGCAGAGCCAAGGCAAGACCCAGGACTCCTGACTCCAGTTCTACGACATCACTGTCCTAGGGCCATTTCTTGATGAAGGTGTGACCTGGTAGGAAAAGAAAAAAAGCAAACATAGCAAGAGAAGGAGAACCAAGGTGCCTAGCTAGTCCACCATTTAAATATTCTAATTTAAAGAGAATATTAAATTACAGGTCATTTAGATTTGATTGGATTGTCAAAGTCATGTGAGAGCTTACAAATGAGGACAATATGAATGAGCCCTGTTAAGTCATTTTGGTTCAGTTACTAAAGGGAAAGGAGGAATGGTAATAATACCCTCAGTCCCTTCCCAAATGCTTCAGTGTGCCAGGACTGTTGCATTTGATGAACATTATCTAATTTAATCTTGAAAACAGCTCTACAAGGTAGGCAATGGTTTCACAGAAGGAAAATCTCGGCTTAATTCCAAAGGTCACACAGCTAGTAAGTGACAGATCTGGGACTCGAACAGAAGTTTTTCTGATTAGAAAGCCTGAGCTCTTAGAATCCCTCGCAGGCAAGTAAGGGGCACTCAAAATTTATTTCCATACAGTCTAGATTAACCCTGAGTTTTTAAACCTCATAGACACTCATATCTTAAACTTCTCAATAAAGCACTGAAGTGGATATTCAATAATAAGTTTGTCATAGTAGCATATCTAAGTATTTGGCTCTAAGTCAATCATATTCACATATCCTTATCAGGCATATTGTTGGCAAGGGCTAAAGGCCTTTAAGAGATAAAGATAAAGAACATACTCAGCCAGAGGTGGGGATTAACCCAGGATTTCCAGCCTAACACCCTAACATAACCCTCTTCCTTTTTAAAGATTCTCCATTCCTTCTTCTTTAATGGGCAAACCAGAACATTTCACAGATTTTTTTTTTTCTCAGTGAAAGAGCTCTATTTCTCACATAAATGTGAGCCATGATTATTTCTTTCATCAGGAAAAATCCTCACTGTATTTTCTTTTTTCTCTCTTAATTTTTTATCTTTCTTTTTATTTTTAGTTTTTAACCAATAGTTGGAATCTCTCACTGATGTGCAAAAAATTTATGCCGGTAGAAATCATTAATACTGACGCCTGGCAAAAGGGAAGCCACACATTCTGAATGACATGATTCTTATTTTTATGATTAGATTAATTAAAGTGACTGGTGTAAATCCCTCGCCCAGTGTGGGGAGAAGAGACCCCAAGGGCTAATCTCGCCACCATATGCTGTAGCACTTTGAAAACTGGGTAGGACGACTTCAGCTCGGAATGTCTTTATTGCTAAAAATATAACAAACAACCAACTGCAGGATGACTCATGCAATAGCACTCAACTTTGCATTCTTCAGAAATTTCTGAACACGATGTTTTCTGCCAGCGCCCCATCTCCAAAAATGTCCATTAAATAAACTCCTTGTCTCTGCTCCTGAAAAAATATTAGGACTAGTCCCTGAGGCTCTACCCCACGTGAACACTGTGTATAGAATGATACCTTATCAAGGTAAATGGACCAGACCTCCCATTTGTAATCTCTGTCTCAAACAGAGTGTTGCCAACAGCTAGGCCTGCAAATGCGATAGGGATAATCTAACAGCATTTTCTCTTCCATCATCCATACTTTGAGAGTTAGGAGGTGATATGACAGGGTAGGACGGAACCCACCCAGCAATGGCTCCCATCTCCCTTTCAGGGCAAGCCTGGTTGTGGGGAGTGAAGGGTATATGCGAAAGTAAGGTATTCCCTTCTCTGTCCCCATGGGTTCCTGCTTTCTTTTCTGCCCAGTCGATCCCCTTGAACCAAACTCTTTCCTAATCAACGTTCCTTGAATATGAAGCAAATGAAGATCTACTTACAATCTGTTGCCATGCCAACATAGATGCATTTCTTAAAGCGACATTCCTGGCACTGATTTCGCGTGACTTTGTCTATGACACATTTTCCTTCATATTTACAGGAATAGGATGGATGGAGATTTTTCTGAATGGTTCTTCTAAAGAAACCCTATTTGAAAAACAAAGACCCAAGACAACAGTTTCATATTTTCTAGAAATCAATGATTCTGGAATTTCGTGTCCATATAACTATGAGATGAATTGTTTCGGACCTTAACCTGTTTCTGGGCCTCTAGCTCCACATATTCAAATATAAGACAGTTGGCCCAGAAAGATCTAGTGAGTTCTAAATCTGAGCTGATGATGCCATAGGACTACAGAGTCAACACCTTTTTTTGGTATTTATTCAAGGAAAAGAGGCTAGTAGGAACATCTAGTGCTTGTTTTTATTTTTTCTAAATATTGAATGTATAAGTAAATTATATTGTTCTGTCTCATAGAGTGACATAATTGTGTTGCTAAAGGAAGCTATGAGGAGTTTTGCTACTTTATACTGGGTAATAAGAAAGCTCAAGACCAAGAAGAAAGTGAAAAAATGAAAAGAGATGGATACTTGCAATACTTTGTTAATTAAAAATCTAATAATAGTAATTAAACAGTTGTACTAGCTGGCTTCACGGATTTAGTTTAATACTTGTTTTTGACTCTTGAGACAGCCACGATCAGCTCACTTGGCCTTTCAAACAATAGGACTCAGGGAGTAGAACATTCCAGGTTTTCTACCAAGTTTTTCCCCATAGCTTATTGCATTGAGGTTTTCCTTTTATAACACTCTTTCTTTGGTATCTGTAGATACACACCTACAGGTTCAATGATTCTTCCTTTCTTAAGGCATGAGAGAGCACCTCTGTAGCATCTGGGGACACTAGGTGTGGGTGACTTAGGTAATATGCTCAAGAATGTGCAATACTAGAATTTTTCTGGACATGATCCTCAGGTTGAGGCAACTGTCATCTGTATTGTAGGAATTAATAACAGTAGTGAGCATTTACTTTGAGGGCACATTGCAAAGTGCTGTAGAAACATGTGATATCCTTCTATCTTCCCTACAACCATGTAAGGGAGGTGCTCTAAATATTTCCATGGTAGGGATTAAAAAAGTAAACCTCAGACAGGTTAAGCCATTTGACCAAATCACATGGTAAGTACATGCAGGAACTTGGGTGGGATGGAAACCATCCAGCAATGGTCCCCACCTTCCTTGCAACCCAGGAGTGGCGCTCCACATCTTAATTGCTTAACTGCTTCTATTATGTATAATGAAGTAAATTTTACTGTATTACTTAAATGTTTTAGATGAACAGATTATAAATAGTCCTGTCCCACCCACTTAAAAAGTTCATTTTATCTGTTGGTAGAATAACAAGGCAAAATGAGTTTTTTAAAATGTAAAAAAATTTAAAAAAAATGTTTTTTTGAGACAGAGTCTCACTCTGTCACCCAGGCTGGAGTGCAGTGGTGCGATCTTGGCTTATTACAACCTCCACCTCCAGGGTGCAAGTGGTTCTCATATGTTAGTATCCAGAGTAGCCGGGATTATAGGCATGAGCCACCACGCCTGGCTAATTTTTGTATTTTTAGTAGAGATGGGGTTTTGCCATGTTGGCCACGCTGGTCTTAAACTCCTGGCCTTAAGTGTTCTGTCCTCCTTGGCCTCCCAAAGTGCTGGGATTACAGGCATGAGCCACCATGCCCAGCTAATTTTTATATTTTTAGTAGAGATGCATTTTTGCCATATTGGCCAGGCTGGTCTCGAACACCCAGTCTCAAATGATCTGCTCGCCTCCGCCTCCCTCCCAAAGTGCTGGGATTACAGGCATGAGCCACTGCGCCTGGTGGCAAAACAAGTTTTGATGGATGTTTTCTGCTAAGGCCTAAAGGGGGCCTCTAACTTTGTTAGATAAATGGTGGGAAATACCAGTTGACCTAGATTCAACCCACATTTTTATTATCCTGGTTAATGTTCTTCGGCTTTGATTATATACATATACCCTATTGCATATTCCTCCCTCAGGCACAAAAGCTCTTTCTTATTATGAAAATGTCCAAGGTAGGATGTTATATTGGGCAAAGCAGAATAAAATGGGGAAACATCAGGAATAACTGAAATGAACAGACTTGATTTTGGGGCATATATGCAAATCCCTTATCATTTCCATTGTTCAAGTTCTAACAGAAAACTGTCATATTATATTTGGGTTTTGTGTTCATAAGCACTTGAGTCCATTAATCTGAGTGATGTTGATACACTGTTATGAGATTCACTCAGTCACACACAGGGCAGCTGTTGGAGATGTTAGCAATGTTTTCCTGGGTGTGCAGGGTGGGCAAATCTTGCCAAAGCGTGAATGTCAGAGCATGCCATGAGAGTGAAAAACAAGTTTCCCTGCAAACCTCGCTTTTCTTTCTGTTACCCTCTGACCAAGGAGGGCAAAGGAGAACTAAAGAAACCCAGAGATTGCTGGCAAGATGTATGTAACAGACAGGGAGGAGAAGGGTAGGGTAGCACGCCTCCTTCTGGAGGAAACAACAATTTCCTAGAGGTAGAAATACCAAAGTCCAAGACATCCAGTAAGAATGCTGACTGCTTACCAGGATAGGAAGATTGTTAGTCTATCTGAAGTTGGGGAGACCCCTGTCTCCCTCATACTCTGATGCTGACTCATGTTCAGGGGTGGGGTTAGGGCAAGGAGTACATTGACCAGTAAGACCACGCTAAGCAGAGAATGAGGTGTGACACACCAGACCCCAGGGTTTTCCAAAAAGTTACTCTGTTCACTTTTTATTGGAATGAATGAAATAATTTATACTTTGCTTATTTCCACAAAAGAGTTGAGATAGCTAGCTCTGTTATACACTATACCATCTTTTCTTTGGCCTATCTCTGATGACTTTTCTTGGGCACTTCATGGACCAAATCCTTTTAAAGATGTTGGCCTTTCTTTTTTTTTTTTTTTCTTGAAATGTTGGCCTTTCTTAAGCTGTAATTAAAGTACATTTTGACGTATGATAAGGAACCACTTCATTTTAAAAAGTAACAGATAGTAACTCTTGGAAGTGGACTTGAAGACATTTAAACAGTCTACTTATTAAAAAAAAAATCCTTTTAGAGATGAGCTGACAAAAGAGATGCCCTGGGCAATAAATAAGGACATATATTTCATTGATGATTTGTTGGTAAGAAGAGGTCTTGCTTTTACAGATCAGTATCAGACATGTTTCTTTGCATTCTGAGAAGAACTGTATCCATTTTTTAGTACTTTGAGATGATGCACTGATCAATGTGAAAAGGAGATAACTCACTCTTCTAGTTCACTATTCTGGCAGCTGTTAAAAAACTTTGGTTCTTCCTCTAACAATAGTTTGCTGTGGGACAGTATCAACATCCTTTCTACAAAAGATGCGTAAAAACTTGGATATCACAACAGACATGACATTTCCAAAAGATTTCACTCTTCTCAGGGTGAAAATTGGCAAAAAGGATTCTCTCCATACATATTGCAAGTATGGGGTAGAAATATTTTTAAATTACAGGTTTGAATAAACAGTATAGGAAACAATCCTTTCATCTTTCACCACTCTTAAACACCGTGTGTCTCATTTGGAAAACTCATTTGTCTTTTTCCAAGATGCTTTGTCATTACATGATGGCATCTGCACAAGTGCCCTGGGAAGGCTCTTTTCTGATTTTACGATGAAGGCAAACCTAGATACAGGATTCTGACCTGAAACAAAGGCACAGAGCCTGAAATCTAGATTTTGCTACACTATTTCTTCTTTTAAGAAAACCTCAGCTGATCCAGGCTCCAGACATCCTGTGATCTAGGGAGAACAGGCTAGCTGATTTCTTGATCATCCTGAAGACATATGTGAGGCAGGGATATGGGTTAATAGGCTCAATTCTCTCTTTGTTTAAGTCAATCACTAATAATGTATTGTCCTCTGTAAGGCACATTCACTCTTTAGAGTCATTTTGGGGAATTAAGTATTAAATGGAAAGTATTAAATGGAATTCCATATTAAATGGAATTAGGATCTCTCTCCCAGAATTCGAAATTTCCCATTATGCACTGATTTAGAACCTTAGTGCTGCATCTAAGGTAGGGAAAGCCTTATGAATTGGGACTAATTTAGAGAAAAGTCTAGTTTGAATTGTCGAACTTTTGGAATGAGAGTAGGTACCTAAAGTTATGAAGATTTATTACTTTCAAATCAAGCCAATAAAACTACTTTCATGAGACTGTCTGCAAGTCTCTAATTAATAAATAGCCAGGACTTACTGGTAATTAGATTCCTTAAATTCCCTAAGACATTATTTCCATAGATGTAATGGCCACCTTTAGCCCAGTCTTTGTTAAAGGACTACAAATTCCAGATCAAAGGGGTCTGGATAAATGAGAACATGTTAGACCACATTTCAAAAAACAGTCTTGCAACCTTAGAAATTGCCCCTTTCCAATGGATGTATTATCTCAAACTTTTTTGCAGCCTTCTCCTAAATGTTTCCTAATTTCATGTACAAAACATAGGGAATTTGCAAGGAAAATCTTCCATTAGGGAAAAAGAAAACTCCTTAATTTGAGACTGAGCTAACATGTCAATTTGGTGGCTTTACGAGCAAGGGTAGGAACAAAGGGGGGCAGTTGGAGAAGGGGAAGAAGAGGAGAAGAGGTAAGGTGGATGAGAGAGGAGGGAAGGTGAAATGTTTTATACATTTAATACAATTTTTGCTTTAGGGTTTACATCTTCTGATAATTTAGTTTTAAATATAAGAGGTAAAAAAGAGAAGGTATTTAACAAGTAAACAATTTAAAAAGTCCTTCCCTGACTTTAAATACTTCTTTACTTATGAAACATTAGCTGAACAAACACTAAATACAGCATTGGGTCAAGCTTTTCCCTTTATGGTGGATTTCATTTTCAAGGCTAGATCGTTGGACCAAAAGATATTTTCCAGAAACCTTATCTCGATTTTGTTGATGAAGTCTTGTAAGTAGGCCAATTTAGGCTGAGTTTCAGGAAGTGAATGGACTGTTGATCACTGGCATATTCTTGTCAAGTATTTCCTGCAGATAGGACTGTACAGCACAAAATTAGCTGATGGATGACCAGAATCTACTTAGTCACTGCAGGCTGTGCGAAAAGCCAATTTGGATAATTTCAGAACATAACTGAATCTAAGTAGCCTCAAAGATATTCCCTACTGGAACCCTTGAAAATGAGCATATTCATTCAGACTAACAGCAGAAAACAGCCTGTGGTAGAGTAAACTCCGTCTCCTCCAACACTGTTGATAAAACAAGAGGAGAAACAGTCATTTCTCAGGATGACAACATGTTAAAAAGGACCTATGCTTTATAAACCCAAAGTAAGAGTTTTATTAATTTCTTTTTATTTTATGGATTCTCTTCCTGTTTTAAGAACACTTGCAGAAGTAAAGAAACCAGACATCACACTCATTTAGTTATTTATGATTTGGGAAAAAAATTCAGTTCTTGAACATGTCAGAAATGAAGAGCACAACCAGACACCTAGATGATCACAGGCCATGGATGTTAGGATTTGGTTTTAATTTGAACTTAAACTTAATGTTGCATTCTGGAGGAGCACTGGGAGGGGACGGGAGCTGGGCTAAGCTCCATGCTCGTGGACCCAGGGCAATTACCTTGCAGCCTTCACACGTGATACAGCGGTAGTGATACCCAGTGGCTTTGTCACCACACACTACACAGAGCTCGTCCTTGTCTAAGTAACTGGGGATGTACCCTGTGAAGGAAATAAAAGAAGGAATATTAAAAAACAATATATTAACGTCAAAGAGACACTGTAGCTAAGATTGCTAGACTGGAGACAAAATTGACTTGCCAGAAAGAGATGACAACAGTAAAGACTTAGTGAAACCAAACAGTAAGAATTTTATACTCATAGTGTAAACATAGGCCCAGGATTTCAGAATGCCTTAGAAATAACTCACACCTATAATCCCAGCACTTCGGGAGGCCGAGGCAGGCGGATCACCTGGGGTCAGGAGTTCAAGACCAGCTTGGCCAAAGTGGCAAAACCCTGTCTCTACTAAAAATGCACATAATTAGCTGGGCATGGTGGCAGGCACCTGTAATTCCAGCTACTCAGGAGACTGAGGCAAGAGAATCACTTGAACCCAGGAAGTAGAGGTTGCAGTGAGCTGAGATTGCACCATTGCACTCTAGCCTGGGGAGCAAGAGCAAAATTCTGCCTTAAAAAAAGAGAAAAGAAATAGCTGTGATCACTTGCTGTGCAGGTAGGAATAGCAGGAAGGCTGCAGAGCCAGTGACTCAAGCAGAGGGGCCAGGATTTGAGCACTGTGAGTTCTAGATAACACAATCTCTTTAACAAGGCTTATTTCAAAACCTGTTTTCAAAAGATTTGATCCACTTTGGAATCACAGTACCATGCAATACATTCAGGAAACTTTATAGCTGGAAGAGTCCCAGGAGATGACGAAGTCCTTGAAAGGTGAAGAAACAGGCCTGCAGAAGTTTGGCCTTCCTCAGGGTCACACTGGAAATTACCAGCAGGATTAAAACCCAGGTCTCTTAATTTCTAGCCCTCCAGTATAATATGCTGGTCTTTTTCTAAAAATAGAGAGTTAACTTTAAGTAGAATGAATTTTGCCCCCTAAAAAGATTAGGTAAACTTGTGATATTATGATAAGTAATCCAACAACACTGGATAGTGTGAAATAACAGAGGTTTTGTTTATTAAGAAAAAAGGAAAATCTAAACATGATAACTCTCTTTTTTAGTGGACAATGAGCTTATTAGTTTAAATTCCTTGACCCAGGAAGCTAAAAAGCACAAAAGCGGAAGCTTCCTTGTTTCCCTCTTGTCTTTGCTCTTTTCCCCTCCTGTGGAGAGGATGCCGAGACACAAGATGCTGATTCAGGAGGGCAGGTTCATTCTCCCCTGTATCAATGGTTTGCCATCGATAAATTGTGTGATACATAGAATCACACAGTTTAACATAAGACCAGACAATCAAAATGAGGCAGGATTGGTTGGGATGTGAAGAAGCAAGAGGCTGAGAAACAATCCTTTCTCCTGATCACGGCCCTTACGAAGTTTTTTGACTCAGTAAACTCTTCATTCCAATAAAGATTAGCTAGGTTGAAATGACTGATGCCTTACTGTGTATTTTACCATGACATTTCATAGACCTTTTATTAAATTAGGTCAGTTGCCGAAGTCTTGCTTTTCAGAAAAAAAGCCATTAAGGAAACAATGAAATAAATCCTTTTCATAATTTCTTAGAAATTATTTTGCTCAAACTTTACTTTAGAAAAATGTTCCTTCTTGGGAGGCAGATAATTGACTTGAAAGTGAGGTTTAGTAATGTACAGGATTGTATTTTTAAATATCACAGCTTTTCTTAGTTTACTTTTACATCATGCAAACCATGATGCATCTGTTGAGTTCACTGCAAGGGTTTCAAAACTCTCGTCAGTCATTTTTAAAATGGGAATCCTGGGAAGGATCTGGGCAGAGAAAAAAATGGAACTAGAATGCTTTGTGTGTTCATTCAGTCATTTATCTATGAACTGCATTTATTTAGCATCTACATGTGCTTAGCATTGTTCTAGGTGCTGAAAATATAAAAATGAGTAAGACATGGTTTCTTCTTTTGGAAATTCATAAGCTGAGTTCTGTTTCTGTAGCCTTGGTCATTCCTCAGTGAGAAAAAGAGAGGTGAAAATGAAGAGAAGAACATTAAAAGATGCTCAACATCAATGCAGGGAAATGCAAATCAAAACCACAATGAGATACCACTTTATACTCACTAGTACGGTTTTAACAAAAATGACAGTCACAAGTGTTGGTAAGGACGTGTGCTCATGTGCTTTTGTGTGCATATAAAGACCTACTTATAAAACACAAAGTAACTTTTAAACCACAAAGTAACTCAATTAGGAAAACAGGCCCCTTCCTGGTAAAGGCAGATGGACTATACAGACCTATACTGTCAAAAAAGCTACATCTTGACCTCTTATACCTCGAGGTTATATGCAACTAATCCAACAGAATGAAGACTTTCAAGTTCTTGGTATCAAGTACAGAATGCAGAGATAAGGGAAAAAGCACAAGTCATTTCTGTCTAATCTCAGGTATAAGAATCAATTGTAATGTAGTTGAACACTGTTGTACTTGTGGGACATGACTTGGTAGGGGTCAAAACAAAGTGTCCAAGAACATTAACCAGAGTTGGGAAGATGCAGGTAGTTCCCCCTCACCTCATATTTCCCCACCCTGTCTCATGAGACCTGCTGACTTTATCTTTTGGCTTTGGCAGCCGGACACTGAAGATTTATTCCTACTTGTAATTCAAAAATTTATGTAGATGGTGTTTAAGGTTCTTGTGGAATCCAACAATAATTAAATCAGTGACTGGAATGGACTCCTTTCATTTACTGACTGCTAGGCTGAGAGGTGGTGTGCTTTGCTCTCTTATTTCTCCTAGACTATCTTCTTCATGGGTGGAGGTGATTAAATGTCTTTAGTTAAATCATCAAGCCTTCTACAGAAACATCTACTTAAGTTGGTTGCAGTTGCTTACATGATCATACTAGTGCACCCCACACCTTGCTTTCTTTTCTTTAAAATATTAACTTTAAACCATCTTATTTATCTAAAACAGTCACCACAGGCAATGATACATCCATCATTATGCTTAAGTCCATTATTCTTCATTAAATAACTTCCATCAGGAAATAACGTCCCACACATAGTGACTAGGTAGGTGAGGATTCTCTTAAAGTTACTGAACACAATTGACAACGTTACATACGAACCAATTCTCCTAGAGAACTTAACCATCTTTTGCTGTTGTATTTAAGTGTCTCCATCATTTTCCTTTGTCATACTCACCAAATGAGTTACACAATGGTCAATTTGCCAAACCAAGGAAAATTCACATGTATCATTAGTTTTGTTGCCAAAAGTGGACGCTAACGAGGGTCATAATGTCAGTGTTGGGTTCTGCCTAGAAACAAATACCACAGACACAATCCTGGAAGCTACAACTGTTCATCTGAGGAACTGCATCTGCTAGTTGTCCCAGGTGACTGCTAAAGAAGCCTGGTCAATAACCCTTCAGAAAAAAATTAAGCTCCATGACAATATATGATAGTTCAAAAATGATATATGTCCCGCAGCTCTTGTCTGCTCAGATGTATTATTTTTCAGATTAATACATTATGCTGCCACTTTATTAAGCATATTTTTATAAAAGCAAACTCCATCTGTTTGTTCAACAAAGGACTTGAGAGTTTTTCAGTTGACATTTGGCAATATCTGGTTAATTGCTAAGTATTATCTTGCATATCTTGCAGTTAACGCTATTTAAAAAATATTCTCTGAGGGACTTGTCATGTAGAAGGGGAAAGTTTTGTACATTTGCACTACAAAGCATGCAACAGGTAGTAAGCTTAGCTTCTTGGTTGAAAACAGATTCAATACTTTCTTCCCTATGGACAAGATCAGAAGACTGGCTAGTTTAATTCTTTTGAGTGAATTATAACAGAATCTCAGGTCCTAGGAGGAGAAACACTGGTTCCTCTTGTCACCTTAGCAGATACATGGCCCTTAGGGAATAAAATATAAAGCAGATTAATCTTGAAGGTAGATCTAAAATATAAGGTGCTGCGTAGGCCAGCAGATGTAGCAGCAAGGGAGAAGAGCTGAGTTCAGAGATCTTTTCCAAACTGGCAAATCTTACTATCTGTATAAGACCACTTGCCTAGCAGAACCAGTCCTGGCATCTTAAGGGAGGGGCTGTGATTTGTGGTAATGGGAAATACTTTGGGTAGCTCAGAGAAGTGAAGAAGTTCCATGTTGCTGATTCATCTTGTGAAACTATCAACTCAGAGCCAGTAAGGACCCTAAGTATCTTGGGACGGGATAGAGGATGAGACTATATTTTGTCACCCCTCAGGAAGCTAAGTCATTAGCATGCTGAGTCACTCTTCTGATTTTATACTGAACCTCCTCAGTTCATCCTGCAGCTCAGACCTTCTGATTTAAGCTTTTTTTTTTCCCCCACCAGCACCTTCCCTACGTCATTTCTTTGCATACTTAAAAACCTTGAAAGGTTTATCCTTTAGCCTTTCCCCAACATACAAATCCTGATTCCTTTTATCTTTAATTCTTGGCAGTAGGTACCAAGCTGTACATCATGTTAATCTTTAACCCTGTGATAGACACTGTATTAAATTAAACCATCCGTTCATCCATTTGTTTATTTAACGGCATGTATGGGCGTACTGTGTGGAAGACACTTGGTACAAACTTGAAACAGCATTAACTTTGAAGGCCTTCATCCAATGCTGTCTGCAAATTCTCAGCAGAGCTGCCCCAGGGGCTCCCATTTCACACGATATTTCCTCAGAACATGCACTGTTTTCCTGCCCTCCCTACCCCTGCTTGGGATCTTGGAGTCTCTTTCTTTACTCTTTGCCCTCTGGCTGGCTGGGCCATGGTGTTGGGGGACAGCAGACAATGGCTCCCCAGGCTTTGAACTCTGAAGCACTGGTGGGCGGAGGAGGGGTGAGCAGAAGGAGGACCAAGTAGAGGTGTCACTCTAGAAAAGGGGATGAGGATATGATGCCAAAGGACCCTGGATTCTCATTGGAGGCTTTAGTGCAGAAAAAGGGACAACATGACATTTGGATCATTTCTTCTGACTCAAGAATTCCTGAAACTAAAACATATTTTCAAAATTTCAGTCTTTTTTAA